CAAGATTTCATTCTTTTTGATGGCTGAGTAATATTCCATTGCATATATACCACATCTTCTTTATCCATTCATCAGTCAATGGACATTTGCGCTCTCTCCATAGTATGGCTACTGTTGATGATGCTGCTATAAATATCAGGGTGGATGTACCCCTTTGGATCTGTATTTTTGCATCCTTTGGGTAAATACCTAGTAGTGCAATTGCTGGATCATAGGGTAGTTCTATTGTTAACATTTTGAGGAATCTCCATACTGTTCTCCAGAGTGGCTGCACCAGTTTGCATTCCCACCAATAGTGCAAGAGGGTTCTCCTTTCTCCACATCCTTGCAAACACCTGTTGTTTCCTGTGTTGCTAATTTTAGCTATTCTGGCAGGTGTGAGGTGGTATCTCATCATGGTTCTGATTTGTATTTCCCTGACGATAAGTGATGTTGAGCATCTTTTCATGTGTCTGTAAGCCATTTGGATGTCTTATTTGGAAAAGAAGTCTTTTCTTCTTGTCTTCTGCCTATTTCTTAACTGGATTATTTGTTTTTTGGGTGTTGAATTTCTTATTAGGTGGATAGATGGACATTTGGTTTGTAACCATTTTTTGGTTCTTACGAATAATGCCTCTATGAACATTTATGTACAGGTTCTTGTGTGGACGTATGTTTTCATTTATCCTGGGTATACACCTAGGAGTGAAATTGCTGAGTCACATGGTAACTCTATGTTTACCATTTAAGGAATGCCAGACTGTTTTTGGCAGCAGCTGCACCATTTACACTCCCGTCAGCAATGCATTAGGGATCCAATCTCTCCATACCCTCTCCAGCACTTATTACTTCCTTCCATTCTTGCCATTTCTTTGTGCTCATGTGCTTAAATCTGTGCTATTACTCAGCTCTATCTTCTAACTTACTAGTAATCTCTTCCTCATTACACTATTCAGCCTTTCTCTATGGTTTTCTATTACAAACATTGCATTTTTTATTTTCCAGGTCTCTGATTATCTTCCATAATAGCCTGTTCTTCTATTATGGGTAGGATTATCTTCCTTTATTCCTTTGAGGATATTAATAATATTCACTAAAAATATTCTGTTTGCTTTAATACATCTTTTATCTTAGGGGTTCCTCTTTGTTGAGCTGGTATTTCTATTTATAGTGGCTTTTTTTTCCCCTACAGATGTTTCATGAAACCTTGATTTTAACGTTCTCTGTCAGCTTGTGAATGTGATCTGAGTGGAGCAGGCCACCTCAGTGGTTGTAGGAAAGGATGACATCTACTGCATGGGTTTTGCTACTATCTCTTCTGGAGGGAGGAGATGCGTTCCTAGGTTTTTTCTTTTATCACTTTAAAATCTTTCCCTAGCTTATTCCATCTTTCATCATAGCTTCTAATACTATCTATAAATAAGTAATTTCTACATATTATCTATAAATGAGTAATTTCCATATATTATCTTCAGCCCTAACCTCACCCTTGAGCTACTTGATCCATATGTGCTCCTTTTCTTCAAAGTGCATATCTCATTTTGTAATTATACATTCATAGTACCATTATTTGGTTAATATCCTTCTTCTTTCACTGGACTGGGCATTCCATGAAGACAGAGACTGTGCCTAGTTTTGATCATTGCTGTGCTGCCAGCACTTAGTATAGTATGTGGCAGGTATGCTCATAGGTACTTGTTGAATTAATGAACGGATTAGGAGAAACAGTTCCTGCATGAAAGGCCCCGTGGTATCTTGGAGCAGGTGGCTCTGAGTTGAATCCTGGCTCTGACATTACAAGTTGTGTGTACTGAGTGTTCAGTATGATGCTAGCCACTCTCAGCACTCAGAAAAAGGGATCTTTTCTTATTATTGTGGTCTGGTGTTTGCTGGCCTTCACTACTTAAGGATTTTCATGATTCTGCTGCTTTGAATGTTTGGTGTGGGTCTCCATGACAGATGGATGGCCCTGCAGTCTGGCTCCATCTTAAAGAGGCTTGGAATCCTGAAAGCCTTTGCCAGGTCACTAAATGGTTAGCCCAACAGGATAAGGATAGGCTGGCGGTGGGAGGACATCTTCACTCCCTAACACCAGGATCATCACCTCAGGGGCAAACCTCCAGGGTTCCAGGGAAATGTTTTTAACATGTAGATACCTTTGCACTGTATAGTCCCTCCTTGTGGGAAAAGAAGTTCAGCTTATAGTCTTTCTTGGAGCCCGACAGTACATCAATGTAGTCAAGGCCTTTTAAGGTGACGCTTAGGTCTGGCTTCTCTGGCTTTATCATTTCCACAATGACCCGGAACCTGGGGGGACACAGCAGCACATGAAGAGAGGATAGAGAAAATGTGACTGTCTGCCCAAAGGAAAGAAGTAAAGGTGCTATTTCTACTCCTGACTTTATGACAAGCACGTGGGTCCAGGGCTCTGGTCTTTACTTTGTCTCTAACGATACCAATAACTACGATTTACTGACACCTATTATGTGCTAGGTGCTGAGTCAGTGCTCCACGTGTGTTCCTAGTAACACATGGAGGTACATATGATTCTCACCTCCGTCTTACTAATGAGGAAATAGAGGCCAAGAGGAAGCATGCTCAGATAACATGACTAGTTATTGGTAGAGCCAGGATTCAAACTTAGGTCTGGGCCTTCACCCACTATGCTACCTGGCAGCCTTCAGTAAGTAAACCTCTTCTCCCAGCCTTTGGCTCCTTCTCTGTAAAAGAAGGGGACAAGGCTGCTGGTCTTCAAGCTTCTCTAGCCCTCGTATTCTACTCTACTCCCACTGCAACTAAAGATCCAAGGGACGTCCTTCTCTGGCCAGTGGCTGAGGTGATATGGTGGAGCACTCGATAATAACCACCATGATTCTCATTTTGACAATAATAACAGCTAACATTTACTGAGCACTTATTTTGTGCCAGGCCCTGGTCTAGGAGACTTAGGTACTCCGCTATTCACAGATAGCACTGGGGGTCTGGAAGCTTAGAGGTCAGGCAGTGCCTGTCCACACCAGGGAAATTTGTCTCTGATTCTTTCAGTCCCTCAATGTCCTCTAGAGGTGCTGACCAGGTGAAAGGCCAGGCTAGACAGTGGATGTCCTCCCTCCTCCATCTCCTCCACCCTGACTCCTTGCCCCCCACTCCCTCACCTCTGGGGCTTGTTAAGCCAGTTGCTGATTGGCAGGAGTTCAACGTATGGCGTCTTACATGGTACTTCACGGAAGATGTTGGCCACGGCTTTGGGGAGCTCAGCAACCCCATGCAGCATATACAGCCAGCCAGTCCCATCGGGGAGGGGGAAGAAGAGGGTGCCCTAAGGAGAAGAAGCGTGGTCAGAATGGCACAGGAGGTCCCTTATTAGCTACCTCTCAGGCATGGTAGTAACACAGGGTTAACGTAGGCCCTGACATAAGCATAACTCTTAGAAAGCAGCTTGGCAGTATGTTTTAAGAGTCATAAAAATGTTCATATGTATTTGAACCAGGAACCCCACCCCAAGGAACTTGAGAGTCTATGCTCTACCGATTGAGCTAGCCGGCGGCTTCACCCGAGGGAACTTAAAAATCCCTCCAGAGGAAAAAGCTGCATACATACACATATATTAAAACCATTTATAATATTGATGAAAATTTGGTAATAACTTCCATATTCAACAACTGGGGAATGTTAAATAAATTAGGGAACTCTCATTCAAAGAAATATTAGACAATCATTAAATATCATGATCACAAAGACTAGTGAAACAGAAAAATGTTCCTGATATAATGTAAAGTGAAAATAAACAGAAGGCAATTTTGGGTATGTGATGATGGCAGCTGAATGAGGGCTGGTAGTGAAGATAGAAGAAGAGAGTTCTCCTTTTTTAGGGTGGAAGATTGCGGCTTCTTTCCTTTTTTATTTTTATTACAGCCACGATGATGTTATTTGTGCAATTAAGCTAAATATTAATTGCTTGATGCTTAGTCCAGGACTCTTTCAGAACTGTGCCCCTCATTCCAAGAGAATCTCCTACACATGAAAACATGTGGGCACCGAGAGAGGCTTTGGACTCGATAATCTGCATGATTCCCTATTGTTCCAACATGGTTCGTGGGGTCCCCTCTCGTTTGAACATTCTCTGAGGCCCCAAACTCTGTCTCCTCACCTCTTTTGCACCACTCTTCCCCCTCCAACCACACAGGGAAACCAAAGCGGGTGGGGGAAGCCTCAGTCTACCTGATGTTTGCGGTTCTCCAAGTTCATGGTGCGGGGTCTGTAGGTGATCTCATAGGGCTTGTTTTGCTGATGGGGCTCCAGGGTGATGAACTCGGGCCCCTCCCAGTGCTCACCCTCAAAGATGGGGTGCAGGTTCCAGGTCTGGTTGGTGCGGTTTGAAAGCAAGATGGTCTGCGTGTGCTTGGAGCGCACCTGGCAGGTGAAGTTTACCACCTGGAAGAAAGCAGGCATCTCAGGCAGGTGGTGGACTTTACACATGAGGAGTTCGAGGAAAGGTTCAGGATGGAGATACATATTTGGGAGTTGAGGGTATGGCATTTTTTTTTAAGGCCAAGAAACTGGATGAGATTGTCAGGAAGTTAATTGTTTTTAGAAAAAGAAGAAATTTAAGAACTAATTCCTGACTGGCACACACCAATGTTAAGAAAAATCAGAAGAGGAGATGAGAGGAAGCATCTAATAAGGTAGGAGGAAACCCAGGAAAGGGTGGTATCCTAGGAACCATGTGAGGAAAGTGTTGGAAGGATTCTCCTTTAAGGGACTTGTTCAAGGTATCAAATGCTATCAACAGGTCAACAGTTGAGAACTGACCACCGAATGTAGCAATGGGGACAGTGTGGCAGTGTTGGTAAGGAGAGTTAAATAGACTAGCGGACAAGAACAGAATTCAGCAACAGAGCTGCACCTATATGGTCAAATGGTTTCTGACCAAGGTGCAAAGGTATTTCAGTGGAGAAATGATAATCTTTTCAACAAATGGTGCTGGAACAATTGGATATCAGTATACAAAAAAATACAATGAAATGAATTTTGGTCCATATCTTGCACTACATACACAAATTAACTCTAAACAGATTGAAGATCTAAATGTAAAATTTAAGTCCTGAATATATGAAGAACTCTCAAAACTCAGTAAGAAGAAAACAAACAACCCAGCTAAAGATAGAAAATTTGAACAGATACTCCAACAAAGATGATATATGGGTGGCAAATAAATACCCGAAAAGGTGTTCAACATCGTTAGTCATTAGGGAACTACAAATTAAAAAACACAAGGAGACACCACTACATATCTATTAGGATGACTAAAATTAAAACACCTGACCGTATCAAGTGTTGGCAAGATGTGACATAGTGGAAATGTCAGACATTGCTGGTAGAAATGTAAAATGACACAACCACTTTGGAAAACAGTTTAGTAGGTTTTTAAAAAAGTAAATATATGCTTGCTCTATGACCCAGCCATTCCACTCCTAGATGTTTACCCAAGAAAATGAAAGCATATGTTCCTGCCAAGACTTGTACATACATGTTCAGAGCATACCGTATGAGCCCATTTACATAACACTCTTGAAATAATGGGATTATAGAGATGAAGGCTGGGTGTCATTTTTGCCATAAGCGTTTTTACCATAAGTGGAACACAGTCCATTCTCAGGTTTCAATGGACATGGCTAGCAGAGGATTAACTCAAGGCCCCCTCCCCCCTTTATTGATAAGAGAGAAGGAGAGAAAGGTGTTTTACCCTTTACTTACAGAGCGTGTAACAGAATTTGATCTAGCCAGAGATATCAGTGCAAGCTTCCTTGAGAATGTGATGCTTGAGTTGAGGGCTGAAGAATGAATAGGATTTAACTAAATGAAGAGGGAAAATGAATATTGCAGCAGTGGGAACAGATTATGCAAAAGCCCTGTGGCAGGGGTTGGGAAGCAGGTCTGGATGTTTGATGTTGGCACCGAGGACTGTTTGAACAGAGTCACTTGTTTCTTTCTTTTTTTTTTTTTTTTCAGAGTCACTTGTTTCTAGAAGGCCTGGCTGAATTCACTTGTGGAGCTTGCTGGGCCCACTCTGGCCACTGGCCCATCTGTGGGCAGCATCTACTGACCTCTTTTACTGCAGGTGGTCCCACGCAGACTCCAGATAGGGTTAGGCTCAAGGGATTGCCTCCCTGGATGAAGCAGAGCAAGTTTTTATAGAGACTCTCCTTGCCCACTTCAGTGGGATGGTAGGTCACTTCAAACGAAACCTCCATGCCCGCAGTGATATAGCCTTCTTCTGGGCTGATGGAGAAATGAGGCTCAAATTTTTTGACATCCCATTTAAACCTTTTCCAAGATAAAAGGAGACAAGAAAGACAATTTATTAGTATCCTGGGGGTGTCCTCAATGCTGCTGAGATCAAGAGACTTTGCCTGGGCTTTTAGCTGGGAGGTTTACCTGCTAATGAGCACTCCCTGGGACCTGGGAGGAAGACCATCACTGGGTGCAGCAGAGGCAGTGGGGACAAGAGCCAGATCTCTCCTGGGTAGGACGGCTCAGCTGCCTCTCAGACCGGAGCAGGGTGGGAAGGGGCTGTATCTTATCTTATGGTCCACCAGTGGCTCATGGGGGAACATGTGCATGAATGCACTAACACATGTGTATCCAAGATCAGAGAGCTAGGAAGTGATCGGGCTAGGACTGGAACCGTCCCGAGACCGTGGCTATCAGCAACCCCTCCCCCCATCCCCCCATCCAGGAGGGCAGAGGTGATGCAGGTGAGCATTGCACCTGCTCTTGGTGGCGCTGGGACCTGAGGGCCCTGTGTAGTCATCCCTCAGTGGGCTGATGGGAGACAGAGGGTGGGTGGTGCAGACCCCGTGCTTCCAGCACTCAGGGGCCGCCACACCACACCCTCAGGGCACTGTTCTCACTGAGGTCTGGGCGAGAGTGCCCCCTGCAGGTATTCGGTGCCCACCTGCATAGCTATGGGGGCCTGCCTGAGTAGTGACGGGGGTGGGCACCTGCTAGCTAGAGGGAAGAGCCTGGAGAGGAGAGCGATCACAGATATACTTGGGTTCCAATCCTGTCTTTTTCCCCCACTTCTTGGCTGTGTGACCTCAGGTCAATCATCTGACCTCCTTGAGCCTTACCTTCAGCTGTGAAATGGGGACAACAGAGGACCTTATGGGGGCCTGGGATAATTAAGTGGGAGCTTATATGCAAGAAGGCTCAGCACTGCACCTGCACAGTGTGAGTCCTTGCTAAATGCATGATTTTGGTAAAGTAATCTCAGTTGTCTCATCTGTAAAATGGACCAGCCATGGAACTGTTTGGGATTAGCCAAGAGGAGCCATGTAAAGGGCATAGAACGGGCACCAAACAAATGTTCTCAATGACATTAATTTTCGCCATCCTGGCAGCAAGCAGTCAGATGAGCGGGACCATTGTTGTCACATCTGAGTGAAGGGAGGGGATGTAAAAGGGAGGGGAAAGAAATAACGAGTGGCCTGACTTGTGAAACAGATGTCGTGTCCAGATCCAGGGCAAAGCCAGTGTCACAGGGCTGTGCTAGCCTCGGGGTGGGCACACCGCTCTCCTACCTTGCACCCACGTCACCCGTGTTCAACATAAGGATGCGACGCGTGGCTTGTGTCTGATACACGACTGGCCCAAAGGGGAGATGCTCCTGGTCCAGGGAGATCTCCAGGGCCTGGCAGCAGCCGCTGAGGAGGAAGAGGGGACGCAGGAGCCCCATACATTCCATGAACACCTCCTCGGAGAAGGGAGGGATGCGCTTCTTCGGGGCAAAGATGACTTCCAGCTTACAGACCTCTTTGGGCTTCAGAGTGATGTTGTGGAATGGTATCAGGGTGATGACCTGGACAAAACCACAAGGATACTCAGCCACTGAGGGCAGGGGGCGTCGGAGGCATCCATTCCTGGGTCTTGCTCTTCGGGCTGCAACAGCCCAGGGGTCAGATCCCATTCTGCTCCCTCCTACTGGCCAGGTCATCTTTGGCAAGTTACTTAAACTCTCTGTGACTTACTCTACGGTGAAGATTCAGATCATATGTATAAATGTGTGGCACGAAATAGGCATTCCATAAATGTTAATTCTCTCTTCAACCCCTTGCAGCAAATGACCCCTACTCTCTGGTGGAGGAAATAGTACGATAAGAGGAAACAGGAAACACTCAGTGCTCTGGTGTCTTTCCAAGGAGGGCTCCCTGGGCTCTCTGTACCATGTTTCCTAATGTGCTGCTTTAGATGCAGATTCCCAGGTCCTTCCCCAGGCCGACTGAATTTTGGGAGAGCCTGGAACTCACATCTTCAAAAGTGCCCTGACCCACATGTTCTAGAGTCTGAGAACTGCTGTTTAAATTCGTATGCTCTCCCTTTCCTGCTTTGTCCTGGTAGAAATCAATCAAAATCAGCTCGAAGGAAGCCGAGGCTCCTTCTGCGCTTGTGTTCCCTGGGGTGCAGAGCGGGGGACTGTGGCAGCAGGGGTGAGATGAGCCAAAAACTGCACGGGACCGCCCGGGGCCACTGGACCAGTACAAGTGGCTTGGCCCAATGGTCAGGGGCCCCGGCCCAGTGGCACTGAGGATGTTGCCTGGGATGAGTGAGGAAACAAAAGCAACAAGTTGGCCCTGTCTCTGGATGGCGGCATGGGCCCTGGGACGAGATACGCACCAGCTCTCTTGCTCTGGCTAGCTCCCGCAGCCCATTTTCCTGTCTCTGACAAGCCCCAGATGGTTCTCAGTGCTCCTGCTGCACCGCCTCGCGCCTGGATGTCCACCAGCCCAGGCCCTTCGGGGCCCATGTACCTTTGCCTGCGAGCACACTGCTCCCCAACCTGTCTGCCTGCAAGACACCTCTTCACCCTGACCTCAGTGCAGGCCTCCCTCCACTGTGAGGCCTCCCAACAGCCCCCAGCTGTCCTCGGAGCTGCCCCTTCCCAATTCACACCCTGCCTCTGCAGTTTCTAGGCTGTCTGGGTGTTATTTCTGTGTCAGTGACCCCTGAGGACTGGAAACTCCACCAGACCTTGCTATTCACCTTGCTATGGACTGAATTGTGTCCCCCAAATTCACATGTGAGTGGTGTCCAGCCTTTAGGGGGTAATTAGGTTTAGATGAGGTCATGAGGGTGGGATCCTTGTGACGGGACTAGAGCCCTTGTAAGAAGAGACGCCAGAGAGCTTGATCTCACTGTCTCTCTGCTGGGTGGGCATATGGCAAGAAGGTGGTCATTGTGAGATTATGGGGAAAATGGTTTTCTTTATGACTTACCATATTTTTCAAACTTTCTACAGGATATATACATTCATGAGCATCCAGATCTACTGAATCGCATCCCTTTCTCTTTCACTCTGCTGCCCTTTCGAGGTATGCAGTCCCTCTAAGCCCTGGTGTCCTTCTATGTAAAATGAGAATAATGAAAGCACTAGCCCTACACTGCTTTTGTGAAGACACTCAGAGGTAGCACACGGGAAGCTCTCAGAATGGTCGGCACCCTGTAGGTGCACCAGAAGCGTGAGCGGTCAGTGTTGCTAGCACAGTCCTCTGTACCATCGGGACGCATGAAGACCCCCCGGGAGCCCTGAGCACCAACCTTGGGTTCCTGGAGTTCTGGAATTGAGAACAGGACTGACTGGCTGAATGTGAGGTGGGTGTGGCTGGTGTTCATGATGGAAACCGTTTTTTTCACAACCTGTCCCGGCAGGACAGCTCCTAACTTCACAATCCTGTTGGATGGATCCAGGACTGAAATCTGCAGAACAGGAAAGAGAGCACGGAGGGAGGGTTTCATCAGTTACCGAGAAAAATAACCACCATGATACATCCAGTCTGGTGAGGTAAGGGTGGTTCCTCTCTCTCAGTGTCCTGCCTTCTTCATATGGGATGGGTATTCACTCACCCAGCAAACATTCATGGGCATAAACTACCCCCTAGGCAGCTCATTACACAACTACATAATTATAACAGGGTCAAGGGTTGTGAAGGAAAAGCTCAGGGTACCTTGAGAGCACATTACAGAGGCTGACCTGGCTGGTGGTTCTGGGGAGGCCTCCCTGAGAAGGCATGTCTACACTGCACTGGGAGCTAAAGGAAGGGTAGGATCTAGTCAGGTTGAGTCGGGGTGGGTGTGAGGTTAGAGGGCACCCCAGGGGCAGGGGACACTCTGTGGTGAGGCCCTGAGTTGGAGGAGTGGCTCAGCCAAGGCCTGGGGTGGGGAACAAGGGGCATCCTGAGAAGACAGGCTTGGAGGCAGTCAGGGTTCATGCCGGGAGAAGTGGGAAGCCCGGGCAGCATGGACTGACCCCATCAAACGCGGGTTTTGGGTGCGATGTGGCTCACGTCTCTGTGGAAGAAGGGCTGGAAGGGGGCGGGAGAGAAAGCCTGGAGGAGTGGACGGTGCCGAGCGTTCAGACTAGAACGGCAGCAGCAGAGGTGTGACAGTGGACACGCTTCCAAGTCCTCATCAGGCACTGATCCCGGGGTCGGCCGGGATGGATCGAGGTCAGGCTGGGCCTGGCCCGCAGGACTGTGCAGCACCCATGGGTCACTATCATTCGATCAGTCCCTAAACTGCACACCCCCTGCTCCTCAGCTTTCTTGATATCCAGCCCAGACGCTTCCATTCTGTCTCAAAAGCTGAGAGTCCCTAGCTGCAGCCTGTGCTCCCGGAGGTCCGCTCCGGACTTCCCCCAAAGGACCTAGCACACAGTAAGTGCAGAGTGAGTGAGTGACAGAATGAACAGTGAGATCGGAAGAGGCCCCCCTCTCTGGCTTGGGTGCAGACACACCAGGTGGCCATGTCCTGGGGTTCCTCTAGCTTGATGGGAAGGCTGCCAGGGAGACCTCCCTCCTATCCCTCCCACATCTTCTCTCTCCCTGTGGCTGAAATGTCCCATGCATTCCTGAGCATCTGGGAAAGTCTTCTGTCTTCCAAAACCTCCTATGCAAATGCAAATGTGCCAACGAAACAGACACCTTAAATGTTTACCAGACACTGGGTAGAAAGGGATTAGCAGCAGGACTTTCATTAGGAGCACCTACTTAGAAGAGATGCCCTCAATCAAGCATAACCCTGGGATCTGTGCCTGGCAGAGAGTACTAATCAATGTGGCATTAAGGGACGATGTTCCACAACTGAAACGTATGTCTGCATACATAGCCAAAACAAGTTGCTGTCCAAAACAAATCTAGCCTATTAAACCCAAAAACAGGACACGCCCTGTAAGAGGAGAAGGACGTGCTCGGGATTACGAATCTGACAGTCTCCAACTTCTCCAAGAAAAGTGTGTTTCTCCGGTGCTTGTGATTCCTTGTAGCCTATGATGCACTGAAGTTTGGTGTTGAGTAAGAGTCAGATTTGACAGTTCATCCTTCGGTAGGACTGGCTGGCCTCTGACAGAATAGCTGGGGGGCCAGACGGGTGGAGAAGGGAGGAAGAGTGGGCTCCGGGGGCACAGGTGACTGGGAGGGCAAAAGGAGGGTGCCAAGCCTGAGGATCTCACCAAACGTTTCTTACCTTCATTTCAGTGCCTTTCCCTTTGATTTCAATTATTTGTTGTGAGAGCCCATTGATTTCAAAGGGGATGAGTTCTCGGTATTGGATACTTTCTCGAGGATAAAAGGTGATTGGAATCTCCAGTGTCTTTCCCGGCTTTATCACATCGACACGGAAGTTCACCTCGAGGTACGGGGTGTTGGTGTACAGACAGTCTAAGCTAGAGAAAATCAGGAGGAAGGTGTGGAAGTTAGAGGGCCCGCATATTTCCATTTTGTCTACAAAGGAGGAGGGTCTCCAGCACGACCCTGTACTCCTGGAGGTCAGAGCACATGTTTAAGTCATCCAGAAAGACCAATTCTGTCCCCTTGTCTCTCTGAGCTGGGTTCTGATGGATTTCCTGCCCTGCTGTCCTGCAGTCACAGGATGTAAGGGTTGGAAGCGACCTCAGCAGTGGTTCAGCCCAAAGCCCCCTGACATAATCAAGTTACTTACCCCAAATCACACCCTGAGATCCCGGCAGAACTGGGCCTCAAACTCAAAAGTGCCGTGGCCCTTTGCTCGATGCAAAGGAAGGAAATACTTCCTGGGGTGCCTGGGTGGCTAAGTAGGTCAAGGGTCTGCCTCTTGATTTCAGCTCAGGTCATGATCTCAGGGTCGTGAGATGGAGCCCTGCACTGGGCTCTGTGCTGGGCGTGGAGCCTGCTTAAGATTCTCTAACCCTTTCCCTCTGTCCCTCTCCTCCCACCCCCACCCTGCAAAAGGGCTCTCTCTTTCTCTCTAAGAAAAAAAAGAAGGAGGAGGAGGAGGAGGAGGAAATGCTTCCTAAGTAACTGGGTGGCAAAGCACAGCTGATAGGAGTATGTGTTCTGAGTCAGATAGAAAGGAGTTTGGATCCGGGCTCTAATCACTAACAAGCCATGAGACCTGAGAAAAGTTACTTGGCCCCTTTGGGCCTCTGTTGCCTTATCTGGAAAGCTGGGTTAGTGACAGTTACCTCATAAGGTTGTTGTGAGCATGAAATGGAATAGAGCGACTGAGGCAGTCACTAAGCAGGGCAAAGAGGAAACATTCCACAAAGGTGAGCTGTTCTCGTTATCACTAATCGCCCAACTACCGGGCATCTTCGAAGACTATGTCCACTCTATTCCACCGGTGGGTAGGAAGGCATGAGACCTCTCCACTACAACGCTTCCTTGTCTGTCTTCCAGGCATTTAGAGAAGGAGTCCAGCTAGGCCAATAAATAGAACTTAACGTCTTTGCGTAGGACTCCGATTGAATTAAATCATGCAGGAAAGAGTACAGGTAGATAAGATTTTTAATTAGCATTTCAAATCACAAGACACTCTTGTAACGAACGCTTCAGGTTGATAACCATCATCATCCCAGCAGCAGCAGCAGATAACCATAACTGAGCATTTCCTATGTTCCAGGCACTGTTCTCAGGACTCTCTCTGGGGGAACTAATTTAATCCTCCTAACAGCCCCATATGGGAGATGCTATTATTATCCACCATCTCAGGCGAGGAGAGTTGAGAACATGTGCCCAAGGTCGCACAGCTAGGGAAGAGGTAGGCTTTGAACATAGGCCTGTGCTATCCAATACGGTAGCCACTAGACCCAGTGGCTATTCAAATTCAAATTCAAATGAATTAAAATTTAACAAATTAAGAATTTGGTCCCTCAGTTGCACCAGGCACAATTTACATGCTCTGCAGCCACATGTAGTTATAGGCTGCCATATTGGACAGCGCAGATACGTAACAGTTCCACCGTCCAGGAAAGTTCTGTTGTATAGTACCAACCTAGAGAGCTTTGAGGAAACACAGGTCTCTGGGCTAGTCTCTGGAAATCCTGTTTCAATAGGTCTGAAATAAGGCCCAGAAACCCATATTGGAACATTCTACACAGGGATGGTGCAGAGAGGCTGGATTTTAATCAGAAGACTTAAGCTTGGCATAGATCTGTTATTTACTACAAAGTGATGGCCTGACAAATTCACTTTTTAACTCTTCAAACCTTGGTTTCCACATCTATTATGTGGGGAAAGTAAATGGAAGCCAATGAACCTCTCATCAGGTCATCTGGCATTGCCCTCCTCATTTTAAGATTTTTCAGCAGAGTAGCTCATGGCTACCCAAGTATTAGTGGTGGGGAAAGGAGACTCGGGATTCATGCCCAGCTGTATTTGACTCTTTCCCATAATATTCCTTTTTCTGTTTTGGCAGGACTTCACCTGTAGGACCCACAAGGAGCTACAGACTCCTCTGGAAGCTCTGGGAAGTCTGCGTACCTCATAGACGTTTCTTCCTTGTTGGTGACAACCAGGATTTGTTTGTATGGGGGCATCCCAGCCTGGTAGATGAAGCAGGTCCCAAAGTTGTAGCTGGTGAAGGAGAAATGAACAGCTGGGCTCACAGCGCAGCCTGAGATACTGCACAGAAATGTTGGGCCATGACTGATCTGTGGGGAGGGAATGGCAGGCAGAGCGTGATTAGAAGTGTGAGCAAAGGGCTCCTCAAGTCCTCAGGTGAAGGAGGAAAGCAGTTGGTGCTTTTCCAAAAAAAAAAAAAAAAAAAATACAGGTGCCAGGACTCCATGGGCAGAGATTCTGATTCACAGGTTAGAAGTTTGTTTACTTGAGGAAAGCACAGTGGGATACTCTGCAATCAGACCCCTGCATTGGCTCCTGCAGCCATGATTCAGCCGGAAGGCAGAGGTGTGGCAGACTGCTAGTTACTGTCCCCCATCTGCTTCCCAAGGGTTCCCTATCAGCAGGACTCTGCTTAGTTGCCAAGATGCCTGGGTGGAAATACTAGAGTTCCTATCCTTCCTGGACACTAAGGGTGGTCATCAGACATAGTTCTGGTCATCAAGATATAAACAGAAGAGGACAAGAAGGTGTCCTATTTTGAATACAGAGGCGGTCTTGCTGGGAAAGTTTGGTTGGTTGGTTGGTGGTTTTTTGTATGTTTTGCCTTCAGGCTCTTCTCTCTTATTTCCACTTTGAATGCAGACCCAGGGCTGCAGAGTGAATGGTCCTCTTGTGACCAGGAAAGGACAAGAAGGAAGTCAAAGGCCCCTATGTCAAGGGTGAAAGAGTGGAGAAATATAAAAAGTATGGGTCATATCTGGATTCTCAACAAGATGACACACGTGCCTGTTGGGACATGACCTTAATTTGCTCTTCAGAAACTTTGTAATATGAAATTTCCTAAGTTGAAAATTTATTTAAAACAAAATATCCTGTATTTATTCTAAACATCATTATAATAATATAACAGTCATTGGTACAAGTTTTTGTAAGTGACTTTATAAACTGAAAAACAGTTTCTTACTTAAGGCTTTTAAAGTCTTTGTATTTTGTGACTGATTTCTTGTAAAGGATTCTGATTGACCACCTTCAACTCTTCTGCTAATTAGAGCAGGAAGGTACTATGATGTGTGTGATGTTTCTTTTTTCCGTAAGACATGAAAGTTCTGAAAAAAGACAGTTCTCCCAAGGGATGGGCTCCTTCTGAGGTGGCATGCCTGGCTCTTCCCAGGGAAGATGGCTGCAACATTGCCCTTGAGTTCCAGGCTAGGAGTTTTACGGTTTTGTTTTTTCTAATTGAAAAAAAAATTTTTTTTTTAGACTGTGCTATGACTTCATGTCCATCTAAATTATGGACTGTCCAGCAACTGACTGTGGGTTCCAATTGTTGTACCCCCCGGTTCCCTGTCAGTCACCTTCTCCTTAAGTATACGAATAAAGACCATGTCTCTTCACTCTGTCAACTGTCGCTTTTGCTGTGCAGAAACTTTTGAGTTTGAGGTAGTCCCGCTTCTTTATTTTTGTTTTTGTTGCCTGTGAATTTAGTGTCATATCTGTGAAGTCACTGCCAAACCAAGGTCATGAAACTCGCCCGATATTGTCTTCTAGGAGCTTTATGGTTTCAGGTCTTACGTTTAAGTCTTTAATCCATTTGCAGCTGACTTCTGGGGATGGTGTAAAAGGCTCAGTTTCATTCTTTTGCATATGGATATCCAGTTTTCTCAGCACCATTTGTTGAAGAGACTCTCCTTTCCCATTGTGTATCCTTGGCACCTTGTCAAAGATCAGTTGGCCATATGTGCATTTGTTTCTGGGCTCCCTATTCTGTTCCACTGGTCTAGGGTCTGTCTTGATGCTGGTACTATACTATTTTGATATTAGCTTTATAATATATTTTGAAATCAGGATGTGTGATGCTTCTAGCCTTGTTCTTTCTCAGGATTGATTTGGCTATTTGTGGTCTTTTGTGGTTTCATATGAATTGTAGAACTGTTTTTCTGTATTTGTAAAAAAAAATTCCATTGGGATTTTGATAGGGATTGCACTGAATCTATAGATGGCTTTGGGTGGTACAGACATTTTAACAATATTAAGGCTTTGCATCCACAAACAGAGGATTTTTTCCATTTATTTGTGTCTTTAATTTCTTTCACCAGCATTTTGTAGTTTTCAACATACAAGTCTTTCACCACCTTAGTTAAGTTTATCCCTGAGAATGGAATCCTTTTCCGTGATATTGTAAATAAGATTGTTTTCCTAATTTTCTTTTCAGATAGCTTCTTATTAGCATATAGAAAAGCAACTGATTTTTTTTTATTCTTATGTTAATCCCCATACATTACATCATTAGTTCTAGATGAAGTGTTCCATGATTCATTGTTCGTGCACAACACCCAGTG